TGTCCCTCGGTGTGCGGGGCGATGGTGTCCCCTGGAGGGAAGGGCAGTCCCTCAGATGTGGTATAACGGGTCCCCGCACTCGCTTTTGGCGAGCAACGTGTGTGGCACCACATCTCCACTCTGCCCTTGGCAATTTCTTTCTAAAAGTGCTGTGTTGGTAAGGAATAAAGCACCCTGTCCCCGCTCCACATCTCTCCTGGGACTCTTCCTGATTTTCTGTAGGTCCTACCAAAACGCACAAGGGGTGGGTAAGGTGAAAGAAGGCTCTGCATCAGTGGTGTCTGCAGTGGGCTGTGCTTGGCCATCGGCATGGGGAAGGGGCTCCTGCCCCGCTCCCCACCTCTGCGGCACATGACGGGGCTCCAGGCCCTCGAGGGTGAACTGGGGAGGAACGAGGCACCCGCTTTGGGAAAGCAGCGAGGCAGCCCGTGGCCGATTAAAGGGCAATCTGGTCTTGCTGAGAGCTGTTGGCTGCCTCGGCCAGCGTGATGCATTGCTCCGGCTCAATAAGACCTTCCTCCCCCTCTGACAGCTGCGCAATAGATCATGAACATATGCAAAAAAATAAACTGCATCAAAGCCACTTGGCAACTTAACTAACCCAATTCATAAATTAATTTCTGCTCCTCTTGTAAGGGAGAAATCAGTCACTCCTCAAGGCTATTCGTCTCTATCGCTCATCTGGCCACATCCTTTCATAAATCTTCCCCGTAAGTCTGAACTGGTGATTGCCAGGTCAAGATGCAATAATGCTCAGTGCCTGCGCCGGGCTCAGGGGCAGCCCCGGGGCTGGTTTGCCCTGGACTAGGGCAGGGTGGCTTCTCTCTCCACCGCCCACATCCCGTAAGGCTGTAGCAGAGCTGGTGTTTTGCAGCGTGGTGCTGCTCTGTGGGTGCACGTGGGTGATTTTGGGGAGCACGTGGTCCCCGCTGGCGAGCCGTCAGGGCGGTGCAGAGGTATGATGGTGAACCATCTCCTTGCAAAACGCGGGCAAACGGCACGTGCCGGGTTTCCAGAGCTGCGCAGGGGGCGGCCGGTGACTGCAGGGTGCTGGGGGCACGGGGAGGGAGAGCGGGTGCTTGGTGGGGGCAGGGACCGGGCTGGGTGCACCCCTGCGGCAGGGCGCTTGCAGAGCTGGGGGAGTCTGAGCCCAGGAGGCAGCTACGGCTGCTCCTCCTGCAGCTTTCCAAGACCCCACGGCTTTGCAAAACGGTGCCTTGCACCCCCGGCCCCAGATGGCATGGGTGCCTGGAGCCCAGGTTAGCTTTTCCAACCAGGCAGACAGAAGTCAGCTCTTCCCTGCTGTATCCCTCGCCCCGCTCCCCCCTCACATAAAAAAAATCACCACCTTTTCAGGCTGCCATCTGTTTATTTTGTTGGACTCGGAACTTGCTGAAATGTCCTTCGATGGATGAAGCAACGCAGAGTAGAAGAACAGAGCCTGGCAGGCTGCATGGTGAGTGGAAAATAGTTTTTTTGGGACTTTCTGGAGTTTGAAGGCCCGATGATGGATGTGCATGCGAGGGATGGTAATGGCTTTGTAAGTATCAAAACACAGAGCAAAAGAATAACTCTGCCTAATAGACTGAGAAATGTATG